TATATTATTCTCAAGAAAGAATGTGACACCAGGCAAGTTTCGTTCCAAGGAGCAAACACCAAGTGAATACAGAATATGGCAAAAGTGTACATGAATAATTTACTTAGTTAAAAATAGGCAAAGAATTGATTTACAGTCACCAAAGCACAGATACCAGAAAGTAGTTAAGGCTTAAGAGCCTGTAGAGAAGAATATTAAGATGGTGTGATTGTCAGCATATGAGTCAATTGCTGTTTAAATTCTGTCCCTGTTTTCTTTGTGTTCACACTTCATATTTTTTAAATGTATGCAAATTGCTCAACATCATTAGTCATTAGGGAAATGTAAATCAAAACCACAATGAGGTACCACTTCATACCCACTAGGATGGTTTATAACTGTAATAATAATTCTTTTAAGAATCCAGAAAATAACAAGTGTTATCTTTCTGCCAAAGAAGTAGACAAATTGGACCCATAGTACATTGCTGGTGGGAATCTAAAATGGTTCAGCTGCTGTGGAAAGTTTGGCAGTTCCCTAATAAGTTAAGCATCATGTTATCATATGACCCAGCTATCATATATACCTATCTAAAAGAACTGAAAAGAGGAATGCAACCAAATACATGTACACACATATTCGTAACAGCACTATCTGCAATAGCCAGAAGGTGGATATGACTCAAATGTCCATCCGTGGATACAAGGATAAACAGATCGTGGTATATACATATAATGAAATATTATTTGGCTATAAAAAGAATGAAGTACTGGTACAATGTGAATGAACCTTAAAAACATTATGCTAAGAGAAAAAAGCTAGAAGCAAACAAGTCACATATGAATGATTTGATATATATGAAATATCCAGAATAGATAAACTCATAGAGACAGAATGCACATTGGTGGCTATCATGGACTGATGGAGAGGAGTCAAAGAATGTGGAGTTAATACTTAACAGGTACAGAATTTCCTTTTGGGGTGATGAAATGTTTTGGACTAGATAGAGATGGTGACTGCACAAAATTCTCAATGTACTAAATGCCCCCAGAATCATTCACTTTTAAAAGGTTAATTTTAGGGGCACCTGGGTGGTTCAGTCAGTTAAGCATCCGACTTCAGCTCAGGTCATGATCTCAGTTTGTGAGTTCAAGCCTTGCATCGGGCTCTGTGCTGATAGCTGAGAGCCTGGAGCCTGCTTCAGAATCTGTGCCTCCCTCTCTCTCTCTGCCTTTCCCCCGCTCGTGCTCTGTCTCTGTCTCTCAAAAATAAACGTTAAAAAAAAATATAAGAGGTTAATTTATGTGTGAATTTCACCTCAATGAAAAAAAAGTTTAAGAAAATTGGGATATCTATCAGGAGAGCAAAACTGGAAGAAAAAAAAAAAAAGATATACAGTACCAAGTGTTGACAGGGATATGGAACAACAGGAACTCTCATAAACTGGCATTGGATGTGTAAATTGGTTAAAATCAGCCCTATCTGCTAGGGCTGAACGTCTAAAACTGCGTGCAACGATATGCATGAATCTCATGAACATGATGTGGGGTGAAAGAGGCCAGACACAAAAGGGTACGTGCTGTATGATTTCATTTATATAAAGTACAAAAGACAGTTATAGCTAATCTACATTGATGGAGTCTGGATAGTGGTTGCTGTTGAGGAGGTAGTGGCTTGAAGGAAGTAAGTGCCTCCTGGGTCCTGATGATGTTCTAGTCCTTGATCTCTAGTTAGTTTCATTGGTATGCTCAGTTTATGAAGTTTATGAACTATACATTTGTGATATGTAGCCTTTCCTGTTTATACCATTCCTCAATAAATATTTAAAAAGTATGCAAATTCAGTGTTATCATTTTAGGAAGTTTTCAGGTCATTTGGATACTTTAGAATTCTTTAATATTTAGTGGTATTGATGGTGAAGCTAAAAGAGAGAGAGAGAGAGTGTTTGTGTGGTAAATGTAAATATTTAAGTTGGTTCACTATATTTGTGAAAGTTGACTCAACTTTATCTGAAAAGCGAGAATGATAGATGTGATTTATGTCCTGCCTGTTGGGAACTGGATCATAGGCCCCCTTTCCATTTTATGTTTTTGATGTGTTTTTTTTTTTTTTTAATTTACTTACTTGAATTTATTTCTACTTCATAGAAAACCTGTCTTAAAGAGCTGGGAGAGAAAAACAAAAAGTGTATTTTAAATTCATTCCAAAAAATTGTATTTAAGTAGAGTCTCTACATATATTTTTATAAAATCACAGGTGTTTGCCTATTAAGAGGAATAATATATAAGTGTGTATTTATATAAATGCACATGTGTAAATACAGCCATGTGTTACATGTGTATGAAATATTAATGATAGGGGATATATGCATCCATAAACAGAGAAATGATTTTTAGAAAATAAGCTAATGAAAGGTATTTTGATCCAGTGGCAGATTTTGTTCACATTTTCCCCATTCCATATTAAATTTTTCATATGTAAATTTCAAGTTAATTCATTGTATACAACCATTCAACAATTGGTCAAAAAAGAATAACATGAAATTATGTAACATTTAGAAAATTGGATAGTCTTAAATACACTAAATATCTATAGATTAAATTCCACTGCCGTCAATTAATAAATTAAGACATTTTATTATTGCTATTATTGGTTATAATAATATGCTACCTTTCTATCAGGATTTGCACTTGACAATCTTTTACATATATATAATGCTCTAATTAATTTTATTTCTTCTAAGAAATATTTGCTCCTTGGGATAGAATAAAACACTGCCTTTCTTTGGATCATTAGCCCAGCTCAGGGCTCTTTCACTTAAAGAATAAATGTAAATTTAAACAAATGAAACAATTAGATGAAAAACCTTACTCTCACACACTGATGCTGAACTGGACATTGGCAGGAATAAAAAACCAGTTCCATAGATAATAATGAACACCAGTGGACAGTGAAGTCACTCTCTAGATGAGTTTTAAACTCCTTTCCTTTATAAAAACAGTGCTTCTTAATATGCTGGAGTACTCAGCAGAGAGGGTCTGTGTATGCTTTAATGGTATAACTTCAGATAAATACACATGCACACAGAGACATAGCACTGTGATTTGACTAATAAAGTGTAATATTTGTTTATTTTATAATGGAATTTAAAGTCAGGAGTAACTTTCAAGGCCATTTAGTTCAATCCCCTTATTTTATACATAACCTTTGTTACTGTGGTGTTTTTACTATTGAAGTTAAGTTTAAACATGTTCAAACCTGTGCAAAACAGATTGGAAGAAATATCACCACACAGTCATTACAATCGCCTATTCATCAGCAAGGCATATTCACTCACAGGACTGAATTATTTATTCATCAACCAGCGATAAGCCTATTGACACAGATTTTAAATAAAAAGTAATACATATATTTATAAATAACAGCTCCTAAATAATAACCAACAGCTCATAATATACATTTCAGGGCCCACTTCACACAAGAACAGCATATTCATTGCTCGGGGAAAGGGTTCAATTTATTGAATGATGCATTTATAATTTGGGGCTATAGGTTTTTGAAGCTAGTAATTACATTAGAAACATGAGTCTAGGTTATGTGTTATGATAACATTTGCAAAACTGTGTGCTTACTGAGTATTCTAGAATGATTTTTTTTTCTACTCACATTTATTGTCCAGCATATATTTTTTTTTCTGAAATAAAAATGGTATAACAAAGAATCAGATTTTAGAGGTATACAATGATTAGGGTAATAAATTTTATAATCTTTAGCAGTGTTTTCTTATATATGATTCACAATGAAGTTGCTGCTTATAAAAATAATATGTGCTCAGTGGAAAACATATTTGGAATATTGAAAAGCAGGACTAACAAATACAAATGTGTTTTCAGTGGAAAACATATTTGGAAATATTGAAAAGCAGGACTAACAAATACAAAACTTACTAACCAGAAAACAATAACATATCATGTTGGTGATTTTCCCCCCCCACACCAAATACGCCTCCCCTGCCTTTCTACAACACGCATAAATATACCTGCGTGTTTTTATTGTACATTCAGGCTCTACCATTCTCATGCTCTGTGACCTTTAGCAAGTTACCTCAATTCTCTGTGCCTTTGTTCCTTCATCTTTAAAATATGGATAGTGGTAGTAACCATGATACAGAATTATAAAAATTAAGTGATGTAATAAATTCAAAGTTTTATAAGAGTGCCTGGCATAATATGTATTAACTATTATTATAGCTATGATCATATGTTTTAAAAATATTTTAAAATCATCAAAAAATTCTCATTTTTATTTGAAAGCCACCCCAGTCATTGGTAGCATATTGTATTATTTTCAGTAAGCCATAATATTATCTTTTTTCCCCCCTCCATGATAATGGTGGCAAGTGGGACATCTGCAAAATATGTTCCATGAAAAATGGATCTTCACACAGACTTATGTTGTCATTTTAGTTTGATTTTTGAGAAATGAGTTTGGCACATCTGCCAAATCCTTTCATAAGATGCTACATTCCTGTTTTTATTTTAGTTTATTTCATTTATGGAAAGTTCTTTTCTTCCCCACTCCTCCCACAGGCACCCCCTCTTAGCCCCCATTCCTCCCTGTCCCAAACTATAATGTTGATGTACATTTAAAACTTTAAAATAAAAAAAAAAATGGATCAGAAACTGGAAGGAATCTGTCACTTTTTAAAAGTCATTCTCCTTTTGATATATTTAGATTACCAAAAAACAAAACCAAAACCAAAAAACAAAAACATAAAACAAAACCAAAAAACCAAACCTGTCTTTTACACTGTGAAAATGTACTGTCTGATAATAAGTGACCTTTCTTTCAGGGTGGGAAGGAGAAGACTGGTTTGGGGAGGGGAAAGAATGGAGGAAAACAGACGAAGAATCAGTTTGCAAACATGTGTTAATATTTAGATTTTTTTAAGTGAAAAGTTAAGTAGTTAATGCTTTTTTACAAACTGTCTTTGATACCGTGTTTTGTTTATTCCATCCCAGAAGAAGTTAGCGGTATACAGCAAGATGCAGGACTCTCTGGAAGTCACCCTTCCCAGCAAACAAGAGGAGGAGGAGGATGAGGAGGAGGAGGAGGAGGAGGAGGAGAAAGACCAGCCTGCCGAGATGGAGTACCTTAACTCTCGCTGTGTCCTTTTCACTTATTTCCAGGGAGACATTGGGTCAGTAGTGGATGAACACTTCTCAAGAGCTTTGGGCCAAGCCAGCACCCTCCATCCAGAATCTGCCATTTCAAAAAGCAAGATGGGGCTAACCCCACTATGGCGAGGTAAGAATTCAAAAGCAGATGCTCTCCAGGGCACTGTCTCTGTTTCGCAACTGCCTGTACCAGGTTCCAGCTGGAGAATTGCCCCTGGAGGACGGATATCCACTTGCTTTTTAATTTTTAAGGACAGCAAGGAATTTCTTTCAGACAAACAGCTGGATCAGTTTTGTCACATGTGGAATGCAGGGTCGGAAAGGATGCAGTCACACCCCTTAAATTCCTCATGGAAAGTAGTGATGCAACCAGCCTGAGTTTATAGTGGCAGGACGGAGCTGTGAAGCACCATTCCTGAAGCCCCAGTGGCCCAATTTGGATCTCTAAATAATAGGCGTGCCTGGATCAGCTTTTAGAAATTAGCTCTTGCTCATTCCACTAGGTGCTACGTGGTGACATAGCAGAAATCTGAGTCTGACCCAGGAGTACAAACTTTAAAAGCCTTCAGTGTTTTCTTGATAGTTTTCTCTGTCCTGCTTTGTTGTGGTATGAACTCTTTCAGTTTACCGCCCAGACATTATTGACTGTGTCTACATGGTTTAGGCTGTGGTTCTTGCCTTGGTCAAGGTAAAGCAGTACATGGGGCATCCTCTTCTCTATTTCCTTCTCTGTAGAGGTCACAGAGGTGTGTTTGAACTGATTACTGGCTCACAGAAGATCATTGGATGACATCTAATTGGGCAATGACAAGATGAGGGGAAAATTACGCATCATTTAATGCTAGTTGTAGAGAAATGCGTTATGGATGTTTCTTTTGAACTCACCTGGTTATAAGAAACCTCTAGTAAAATCATTCTCAAAGTGTGGTTTCCTGTACCAGGAACATGAGCATCACATGGGAGCTTGTTAGAAATGCAGGATTTTCGGGCCGCACCTGAGAATCTCAGACCTACTGAATCAGAACAAACTGTGTTTTAGCCAGCCCTCCTGGTGATTCTAAGACAGGCTCAAGTTTGAAAATCCTTAATCTAGTGCTGTTAAAAACAAAGATTGCAGGCCCCTAACTCAGACCTATTAAATCAGAGTCTTCAGAGGGAGACTCTGGGAATCACATCTTAACAAGTGCCCCAAGTGATCCTATGGTGAGGAAAGGCTGGCCACCTGTGGTAGAGGGCAGGGAAGAGGGCAGGTGCTACATGGTCATTTCCTGTCAGCATCAGAGGAATGGTTCTGCTCCACTGTAGGGAGGTTGTGCTGGATGAAATTGCCAGGCCTGACCTATTTGCCGGCTTGCCTTCCTTCCTTCCTCCTTTCTTCCTTTTAGTACATATGAAGAACACTAAGATCGTAGTGACTGTAGAGAGGAAGGTGGAATGCACATTCAATAAATGGTAGACCTCGATAGAAATGATTCGGGAAGCATAATTGCTTTATTTGATTAGTAAATGTTACAGATTTCCCACAAAATTGAGAACTGAGTCCTTCTTGGAGGCCTAAGATGTTTGTGGAATCAACCAATATCCTGTTTGGTAGCATGTGGTAAATACTTTTAATATGTGTGGAAGGTAAAAACAGGAAAACTTCAGTAAATTGGCTGACTTTCATAAATAGTCTGTATCTCAATAATAAATCACGTCAGGATAATCTGTCATTGGAGAGTATTAAATACAATGCCTACTTTTTTTTCTTTTTTTTTTAAACGTAGTGGTATACACAGCCTAGGAATCATTTAATGTGGAATATAGAAACAAGAGTCCCAAATTATAGTTAGATGTGAGTGATTAGTAAGGATTAAAATCAGGATAGTTTTAAGTGAGGTATAGTATATATGCAAAAACTCTATAATAATCCAGTGTTTTCCCATTATCCATGTGACTAAATAGAAATCTTTGGACTGATTTCAAATTTCCATATAGAAAGGATAGAGAATGGTAATGTTTCAGCAACTATTATTACAATTTTCTTGGGATTATTTTATATTTGGTCTTCAAACCTGCCTCCTGTTTCATTCCTTGACATACACAGCAAATGTTAAAGGTACTGCTATGTAGTGGAAATATATCAGTGAACAGGAGAGCCTAAGCCTCTGTGTTCATGGAGCTTTTTAGTGAAAGAGAAAGGTGCGAAGTATAGAATGAAATGCTAGGTGTGGATTTACTTAGGGTGACAATAGATGCTGTCTCTGAGACCATTACATGTGATAAGAGTGGTCTTCATCATGTGAATATCTATGGGGAAGTTATTTGAAGCAGCGGGAACAGCCGGTACAAAAGCCCTATGGAAGGACTGAGCTTAGAGTGTCCGATGAGAAGCAATAGTGCTGCCATGAGTGGAATGAGAAGCAGAGTGACAGGCAGAGACTAGAATTTTTAGGGCTTTGTGTGTCAGTTTAGTGTATCAGGGTAGTGCAGGCAAATGCAGCCGATACTTTAATTTCCATCTCTTCCTCTCCCACTAAGACTAGGTATATCGTATCTAGTTTTCTCACCTCATTTTCCCTCAACATAATGCATTTCTACCTGGAAAATAAAGAATAAATATAAATTGAATGATTATGACTGAATTAGATGAATCAAGTTCATACCATTTATCCCAGATTAGAAAATAAAAAAGTTGTCAATGTAGAATTTATTAGCATTGAGTATGAAATATTTGGTTATAGTTTCCTTGTGTGTAAAATAAGGGGGATGAATGAAATGATTGCTAAAATCTTGTCTCTGCAAGCTTTTGTGATTTCAAGTGTATTTTTTACTTTCCATTTGTGGTACAACTTTTCCATAGTTGTTTAGTTGTGAATTAGTCGATTTTTAATAAACGGAAATAACTTGGATGTGATTTAAAGGAGATCCACAAAAATATAAATAAAGATTTAGAAAATAATATCTTTAAGAGAGGTGTAATAAATTGAGATTCCCATGTTTAGTGAAGAGAGTTACCAGTAATTTTGTGTTAATTGCCAAAGACACAGGTTTGGATACTGCGGTCATTGGATTCTCCTTGTTTTGGGGTTCTAGTGTGGGCCTCACAATGTCTGATGGCAACATGATCTTGGATTAATTAGTTAACATTGCTCTGAACTCAATTTAAATTACAGTATGTGTTTATTGATATATGTTTCCTTGGGTTATTGTAAGGATTCTATGATAATGCATATGAATGATTTGTGACACACGGCTTTATGCAAGGTGCTAAACAATGATGCTTTTTCTCTCTTCCTTAAGTAAGTTTCCACTCATTTGGCATATAGAAAACCAACCTTGGGTTTTTACCCAGAAATATTCTTTGAATTTCTGGCAAAAACACAGTGTCTTGGACAAAGTAGCTACTCAACACTATTGACAATGTTGATGGCCATAGCAGTGATAGTTTATGCAGGAGCACTAGCCAGCTGTACTAAATTAACGGGTCTAATTTATGGCATGAAGTTTTTACAGTGCTACACAAGTGGTATAGTGCTACGAAGGAATTTAAAACTGAGTTATGTTTGGTTGCAGAATATATTTCCGCAGTAAATCTTTAGACAAGGATAGAGTGTCAGCTAATAATGGAATAATGGTCATACTTTGAGTGTGTGTCCTGATGGAGTTAGGAAAGTCCTCTTTAGGTGTTTTGCAGCTTTTAGGCAAACAATTGATAGGAAATATTTGTACTCTATTTGACACAACATCACATCGATGACCTCTTATCCCAGTATACATTCTTACTAATAGGGCTTCTCAGTTGAGAAAACCTAATGAATCTAATGGCCCTGTTATCCCCATCTAAATAGAAACACTGGCTTCAAATATGTCTGTGTATTGATCTCAGTGCCCAAGTGTTATTACAGAAAGTGTGTGTGTGTGTGTGTGTGTGTGTGTGTGTGTGTGTGTGTGTGTCTATGTAGGAAAGCCGAGTAGTAGTTGACGCTTAGCAAAATATGTCATTAACTTAAAAACCATGCTACATGGTGAGAACTTGATATTTTGTTGTTGTTGTTGTTGCAAAGTAAATATTTATTGCTAATTGATTTACATAGTGTCTGCTTAGAGCAACTCATTCTCATAGGAAAGACCTCTCAGAATGAGTACTAGCCTAAAATAACAAAAGAGGAGTATGGGAAAGAGGGTGGGTCTCTTAAGCTGGGTGAGACTAGAAAAGACAGCTGGGCTCCACCTCCAGGAGGCACTGGAGGTTATTGCTGATGGCAAGTTTCGGACAAACACATGGAAGGAAAGAGTGGTCTGACTTCATCATCCTGCCTCCTTGAAACTCATTGTAGAGTCACAATGTCCATTTTGAGCGACTCTAGAGCAAAGTAGAGGACAATCTTTGGACATGATGGAAATGACTAATTCCTGAGTGACAGAAAACATTGGAAAATGTAGCCTTTCACCTCTGACCCAACACTTTGTTTTCATGGGAAGCAGAATAAGAGGATGGGAATTAAATTACAGCAAGGACACTTTGGGTTAAGAATTGAGTGGCATTTTTTTTTCACTGAAGTTAATAAAAAGGTAAATGTTACCTTTTAACATTAATGTTTTGAATCACTACTCTAAGAATGTGTTTTCTGGAGACTTTTAAGATGACTTAAGATAGAGGTTTTACAACATTTTACTGTCCCGTTTTCCTTTTAATATAGTTTTTATTTTTTTTTAATTAAGTAGTAAAATGTTAAAGGTTGAAATTGAATGTTGAATTTTCTCTGGCTTAAGTTGTTTGCCCTTAGATTTTTTTTTTCAGAAATATTTACAGTTAATACAAAAGATATCCTGGCTATTATGAAATTGAAAGAACAACTTCATGTTCCATGCTAACTCTTCTGTGTCCTTAAGATATATTTCTGTATAATTCACACAGTGAGATTACTGGGTATGCCTTGGGTGGGTTGTATCAGACAGCATATCAATTTTGTCATTTTTATCATTTAGAAATAAGGTGTGTGTGTGTGTGTGTGTGTGTGTGTGTGTGTGTGATATTTTTAAATTCCAAATGCAAATTGAACCAAAGTATATTCAGATTGTTTTATGTGCCAGAATGTCAGTGTTAACATCATCCAAATACTGAGTAACATTAAGCCCAACATCACCATGGAGTGTTAACATTTGACAATTGTGAACTGCCTTTACTAACCTGAAAAGTAATATGGCATGGGAATAGTTTGTGCACAAGTTTTTCATATGTTTTTTCATCAAACAAATGTGGCTGTGATTAAGTACTCTTAGGCAAAGAGTCATGTAATGAAAAAAATTTACATACATATGAAATAAGCACATTGATTCCCAGGCATGAAACAAAGCATATCATCTGTTTGTATTAAGATTATTTTTTAACAAGATACCAAATAGTGGTTTTGAAGTGTAGACTTGTCCATAAACATATTTTCTCTTCAATATTGTTTCATTTACTTGTAAAATGCAACATTGTCTTTGAAAAAGGCTGCATAGATCTCTGCAAACTTTATATTAATCTCAGGAGACATAGCAGGACTAGGAAAATATTAAGTTGCTTCTAATTTTATTTTTCCCTGAGGTATTTTAAAGCTTTGTTCAGCACGTTTAGAGCACGTTTTTAAAAATAAGTTTCCACTTTCATTGATAATGTGCTCACTAATTATAATACAATAATTCATAAATAGGGTAGTATTTTGGGTAAGGAATTTGTTCATTGTCCACATTTGTGCATGCATATGCAAAATGCTTAAACATCTATAAAATTGGGTCCAAATGTATATAAATGAAAGGAAATAAAAGAAAAGCATGCAGGAAAATGACATAGTTTTGATATTTTAACGGGGGATTTTCATTAGGGAACTCAGTTTCTCTGACACACACCTCTGGGTTGGATTTAGCAATTTTCATAATGGGTTTGTGGCCCCACCAGGAGATGAAAGTTATGAGCAGAATGAAGGGTTTGCTACCAAAGATTGAGTCTATGACAGCAAAGTGGCAGAAAAGTGGCACCCTGAGGTGGCAAAGCTGCACTGTATAATATAAGGAGCCTCTATACACTTTTTGTATGGGTTTTAATTTTAAACATTGACAGCTAGCACTGTGGGTGTTGACAGAATATTCTACAAATGGCCATCATTTAAGGCAAATTGAATTTTCTTCTCACAGCTTACACAACTTTCTTTGTTGGTCATTAGCACCCACTCTTCATATGTCAAAGGAAGACAGTTCTGAAATAAAATATATTTGCTCCGATGCCAGCAGGTTTGACTTTAAGTGCTATTTTCTGATAGATGTGATAGTGACAAAACAAAGTCATTCAATTAAAAGTTCTCCTGGACTATTTGAAGACTCGAAGAACAATGTGTGCTTCCGTCCTTTCCCGTTAGGAGAATATGATTATTTGTTTTATTTCCCCAAGGGCTTTGAGATCCTTGGAGATTCTGTGGGGACAGACTTGAATGCGAGATACCGAATAGCTGTCTGTCCATAGAATGGATGGGGTGAATGATGATAGCCCTGCTGTAGGGCTGATGGACAGAGAAGCGACGTTTGCAATGCTAGTGGCACTGTCCTTAGGGGAGTTAGGGAAAGGAAACATTTGAACACCATGTTGATACCCTAATTATGTTCAAGTTACATATACTATGGTTGGTTCAAGTTACAGAAGCTTTCCTCTGAGGTAAGGAAATTATGTCCTGGACATTTATGAAGTGAGAACATGGCTATGTCAGAGTTGTGAGTACTTTTATTTCAGAGTACTTCTCAGGATATTCTTCATTCAATGAAAAGATCTAGCCAGGCTCTTTTCTCTAGAACCCTGTATGAAAATAGTATTACACATGCATGACTAATGTGCTAGGCAACCTTATCTTCATCTATAGATAGACATCGTAGGCCACTTCACAGAATGATAGAAGTATAGAGCCAGAAGATATTTGGCATTTTCATTCAAATACCTCATATGGAAGAAAGTCAGCCACAGAGAGATCAACAGATCCATGTGAGGTCATAAAATCAGATAACGTAATTGCTAGGTGCTAGCTCTCTGGCTGAGCTCTCTAGACTCCCTGTCTGGTGTTTGCTCTTTTACACCACACAGTACAGAGCAGGCTATGGCTGGAGGTAGGGATGTTTACAGTCACAGATCTGACTGTATCATTCCCTAGATTAAAACCCTCCAAAACTCACTGGCACCTTCTCAGGACAGCACCCACATTCATTACGTAGCTTGCAAGGCCATACCCATCTGGGTCTTTCTTGGACCCAGTCTGACTTTTTAGTCTAATTTTTTTGCCACCTTCTACCCACAGAATTCTTGTTCCCCATATGCTATTTTGTGTGTGTGTGTGTGTGCGTGTGTGTGTGTGTGTGTGTGTGTGTGTGTGTTCGGGTCTGTGCAATTTTTGGCCTTCTTTTCATGTACTTTTTTGCCTAAACCACTCTTCCCTACCTTTTCACAAAGCTAGCCCTCCCCACCTTTCCAATTGATCTTTTCTTAGGCTGCTTCTGTGCCCTCTCTCTGTGCTTCCCCTTATGAGAGCCCTACCAGGTCACACATTGCATGTGTTTATTTATTTATATGTCCCCTGCTCGATTGTGATTAAGAATGATGTCTCTTTGCTCATCCCTGACCTCTATTTGGTACATAGTAGGTCATCTATAAATAAGTTAGGATGATTGATTGGAGAAATTTAACTGAAGGCAACAGTTGGGGAGGGTTTTCCCTCTTTATTTATCTCTAAGTGCTATTTTTTTATATTC